GGCCTAGACCCGCCTTAATCGCTGGAGCCACCCGGGAATGCGAAACTCCCGCTTGTTCAACCTGGGAGCTGCTGCGCAGCGCGGGAGCTCTTGGGGGAAGGGGACAAAGGGGGAAAGGTAAAAGCCCCTGCCCAACCCCTAACTGCCACTGTTTAAGCCAATAGCATGCCCAGCTGCTCCAGCCCCCCCACGGGAAGCCCTGGATCTGTCAGCTGGACCGTGGCCACTCTGGGGCTGCCCCTAAACTCCCGCTTGTTCAACCTGGGAGCTGCTGCGCAGCGCGGGAGCTCTTGGGGGAAGGGGACAAAGGGGGAAAGGTAAAAGCCCCTGCCCAACCCCTAACTGCCACTGTTTAAGCCAATAGCATGCCCAGCTGCTCCAGCCCCCCCACGGGAAGCCCTGGATCTGTCAGCTGGACCGTGGCCACTCTGGGGCTGCCCCTTCCCCAAAGCCACTGCTTAAACGCAGACCAGTGTCCCTGCCAGCCCCTCTCCTTCCAGCTACGGGGTCTGGACACAAATGCCACAGAGCTGCAAAGTCCCAGTGTAGCCCACACATCTCCTGGGGGTGGTTCACTGTCTATGTAGTGGCACTGAGACCACTTGCAGAGAGAAAGGAGGGTGCTGCAGCCGCAGCTGAGAGCCAGCTGGCTTTTAGCTCAAGCTCTAGAGTTTTGGTTCCACCAGAGCCATGACTGGGTCCTGCTAGCTTGTGACCTCTAGCCCCTCAATTCGCTTGCCTAAGGAACGGCCTTGTCTCTAGCCCAGGGGTGGCCTAACAGGAGCCTGAAAAGAAGCCAGAATTTACCAATGCACATGGCCAAAGGGACACAGTAATATGGTGGCAGCTTCCCATCAGCTCCACCCCCACAGCACTTCTCACCTGTGGGCAGCCCTGCACAGAAGCACCTCTCCTTCCCTTTCCCACCCAATGCCTGTTTTGAGGCTTACAGGAGGCTAGGGGAGAAGGGAGGAGAAAGGGCATGGCAGACTGGGGAAAAGGGTTGGGGCCCTGGAAAAAGGAGTGGAGTGGGGGCAAGACCTGGGGCAGAGTGGGGATTGAGCAGAGAGCACCCCCTGGCACATTAGAAAGTTAGTACCAGTGGCTCCAGTCCTGGCATTGGTGCCTATGGAAGGAACCATATATTAACTTCTGAAAAGCCGCATATGGCTCTGGAGCCACAGGGTGGCTACCCCTACTCTAGCCATTCCTACTGTATCTTAAACATTTGGACCCTCTCTGCACAGAAGTCCCACAACTGCTCAGATTCTGCCAAATTTTGGTCACAAACCAGAAATTTGTCAATTGAGCCATCAAAATGAGAACAAGTGTTGCCTTTAATGCCAAACAACACAAACAGAAAACTGGGCCCGCCCCTCACATCTGGGAACTCTGATCTGGCAATTGTCTTCTGCTGAGTTGAGCTAATTTGTGGCTGCATACTTTCCACTTTTACCATCTAAAATTGGTATCTATGCACCTACTCCTAATACTCCAAATAGGGCAGGTCTAGATACAAAATGATATCATTGGCAAAGACATCTACATCTTGGGCTACATCTACAGTTCAGTTGGGCTACATCTACACTGCACTGTAGTTTGAAATAAAATACTCAATTTAAGCTACACAAATTGTGTATCTTATTTCAATCTTATTTTGAAATAGCTTATTTCATAATTTGGGCTGTCTACACAGCACCAAATTTTGAAATAACCCACTATTCTGAAATATCCCTTACTCCTCATGGAATGAGGTTTATCATACATCAGAATAGCGAGCCCAAAATAACAGGCTTGCTATTAAGATGCAAGATAGCTATTTCGGGATACTCTGGTATCCCAAAATAGTGTTGCAGTGTAGATGTAGTCTTAGAGAGTTGGCAGAGTAAAAGGAAATGATCAGAGTCTGGGTACGTCTAAACTACATGGCTCCGTCGACGGAGCCATATAGATTAGTGTACTCGATAAAGGGAAATGAAGCGGCGATTTAAATAATCGCTGCTTCATTTACATCAAAATGGCTGCCACGCTGTGCCGATCAGCTGTTTGGCAGCACAGCGCGGTAGTCTGGACTCTCCGCGGTTGACAAGGGAAACCCTTGTTGACCGCTCCGGTAAATCTCATTCCACGAGGCATAACGGGGTGGTCGATAAGGGCTTCCCTTGTCAACTGCGGAGTGTCCAGACTACCGCCTTGTGCCACTAAACAGCTGATCAGCACAGCGCAGCAGCCATTTTGATGTAAATGAAGCGGCAATTATTTAAATCGCTGCTTCATTTTCCTATGTCTAGAAACCTCATCTTCATGGCTCTGTCGACAGAGCCATGTAGTCTAGACATAACCTCAGAGTCTAAATTGTGATCAGAAGGAGTGAAGTCAGTGGAAGTTGATTTGTACTTGAGAATATGATTCAATACTTTTTAAAATTTGTTCTACTAGCACAGACGAGGGTCAGGGTGTAAACCAAACTAAAGCACCCGAAAACCGTTAGAATGAACCCTTCCTTCACCACCCCTGTTTTAAAAGATAGGAAAGATCAAAAGATAGATAGGATAGATCAAATTAATAAGAACATTAGGTAGCATAGCTGTACCTGTAATAGCTACAAAAATAATATGTGTGATAAGAAAATAATTGTTATTCATCATTGATAAAAATAAAAACTGTACCTAGAACAAAATGTCCCTTTACTTTCTAATTGAATCAATGAATAATGCTTGTTTTGTTTGACTCAGCATACTTTTGTTCCTGTTCAGTTTTCTAAATAATTATTTTGGGTCTCTTCATTTATTTTCTATCTGTGTGTTTGTAGTTTGATCAATTTCCTATTACTTTATGTGTCTAGACATTTAGGTTTACTCTTCTGACCCAGTGATTTTTTTATAATTACAGGACCTGTTTCAAGTTGATGTATCTGAATTTGTGATGTAAATTATCATGAGTTGATGGATATAAAGGAGTAAATTGTTGAAGGGTTTTACAACACTATAGGACTATAGTTAGCCCATGATTACTCATGTGCGGCTCCTACTGAAGTTAAGGTGAGCAATATTTATGTAGCTATAGGCAGAATTTATCTTTTGATAAACAACTCTGGGTTCTACTTGTTCTATTTCACAAGCATATTGTCTGAAATATAAACATATCTCGGTGGTATACTGCCAAATGAAGTCTGGAGGAAAGCTGAAACAGTACTAGAGATGTTCTGCTCTTTATATGCATAATAATGTTTGGAAATGTCATGCTTATTTCAAACAGAAGTTATGGTACCAGAGCATTCTCTTTACTGTCAGGCCAGTATTCATGGAAGGGGTGGGAGAAGTTAGTACCTCAGGGTATGTCTACATTAGTTAATTCGAACTAAGCTAATTCGAACTAGTGAATCTAGACCTAAAAACTAGTTCGAATTAGCGTTTTGCTAATTCGAACTAGCATGTCCACATTGAGTGGACCCTGAACCGGGGTTAAGGATGGCTGGAAGCAGTGCCGGCAGGGCATCAGATTAGGACTTAAGAGTGTGGAGCTGCTGTCTTAGGCTAGCCGAGGGCTGTGCTTAAAGGGACCCGACCCCCACCCCGGACAGACAGTTCTCAGAGGTTCCCTGCTCGTTTATCTAACTCGATGAGGGACAGCAAAGCAGTCCTGGCTTGGAGTGCCCTAGGTACCCACACTCGGCACATCACAGCACTCTGCCATCAGCCCGGCTGCACTTGCCACAGGCTGCCATCCGGGGAGGGGGGTCTATTGGGGGGCTGCAGGGGAGCTTCCACCCCGAGGAGCCCGCAGAGCCACCCCAGTCCTCCCCATCGGGGGCTCGTACCCCATTCCTCCCTCACCTCCTTCCACTTACCCCTCCCTAGCCCCCCTTCCTGATGTACAAAATAAAGGACATGTGTGTTCAAAAATAGAAACTCCCTTTATTGAACAAAACTCGGGGAGACTGGGAAAAGGAGGTGGGAGAGGGGAAGAGACAGGGTGGGAGAGGGGAGGAGGAAACCTGGGAGGAGGGAGCTGGAAGGGGAAGCCAGGGGAAGAAGGAGGAGGGGAAGTATCAAACTATGGTACGCCATATCTTCAGTACTGTGTACTGATGTGATCTCCTCACCCCAGAAAAGATATTTTGGCCTTGGAAAAGGTTCAGAAAAGGGCAACTAAAATGATCAGGGGTTTGGAATAGGTCCCATATGAAGAGAGGCTAAAGAGACTGGGACTTTTCAG